GAAAGGGGGGAATTAACGGCATCTCAAAAACAAGGGGTAATTACCTTAATTGAGAAGGAAGCGAAAGATACTCTCCATATAAAAAATTATCGACCCATCACGCTTTTGAATGTAGATTATAAAATTGTATCTAAAGTTCTAGCAAAAAGAATGAAAGAGGTTTTAAATGAAATAATTCATCATGATCAAGTTGGATATATAAAAGATAGAAATATTGGGGAAGCTGTACGATTGATAGATGACATGTTATTTTATTCTATGCATTATGGGGAACAAGGGAAAGGGTTTTTGTGTGCAGTGGATTTTGAGAAAGCTTTCGACTCTGTATCTCATAGATATTTATTTCAAATATTGAAATTGTTTGGTTTTGGAGATTCATTTTGCTCTTGGGTAAAATTATTGTATAAAGGGATAAGTAGTTGTGTTATGAACGGTGGTCACTCCACGGGGTATTTTGAAATAGAAAGGGGAGTAAGGCAAGGGGATCCATTATCGCCATATTTGTTTTTGGTTGCCATCGAAATTTTGGCGCATGCAGTAAGGAGGGACAACGGTATTAAAGGGATTACATTTGGAAAATCTGAAATTAGGCAAGTGTTATATGCAGATGATATGACAATATTTTTGAAGGATATTGATTCGGTTAGAAGGTTGCAATATATTTTTGAATCATTTGAAAAAATTAGTGGTCTTAAAGTGAATAAAACAAAGACACATTTTATGTGGATGGGTGAGGATGAGAACAAACCTGATGGGCCTTTATTTGGAAATTTGGTTAAGGAAATACATATTTTAGGGGTTAGTTATTCATTAGATCGAAGTTTAAAAGATGATTTGAATTATAAAGAAATTCTAAGTAAAATAAAAAAATTGCTTGTATGGTGGAAACAAAGAGATTTAACTATTATGGGTAAAATACATTTGCTAAAAACTTATGCGCTTTCAAAATTAAATTATATTTCATCTCTCGTTATTGTCCCTCATTGGGTATATAAAGAAGTTGCAAAAATTTCATTTGAATTCATATGGAGGGGGAAAGATAGAATTAAACGGGCAATAATGTATCAGGATTATGACTTTGGAGGATTAAGAATGATTAATTTTGAAATGTCCGTTAAAATACAGCGCATAATGTGGATAAAACGTCTTTTATATGGAGAGAAAAGTTTGGGATGGAAATTGTTTTTTGATCATTGCTTACAGTTTGTGGGTGGTAGATTTATTTTTTTATGTGATTATGATTTAAACAAGATTAAACTCGTTTTAGATATTCCACCATACTATATGGAAATGTTGCAAGCATGGCAAGAGACAAGTAATTTAAGATATTTGGAGGGTTATATTAATCCAATTATTTTTAATAATCAGAATATATGTATAAATGGAAAAAGTATATTTGATAGATACTTGTTTGAAAGAGGGATTGTTCAACTGAATCATTTGGTTGAGAAAGGTCATGTTAAGCCTGTTAAATATTTTATGAACCTCGGTATGAAAGGTAATAATTTGCTTATGATTATTGATATTTATGATGCGATACCCAGGTTATGGAAGGATGATTCAGGGCTAATAGAATTCCTCGAGGTTGATTTGATAAGCTTTAATACTTATTTCCATATTTCTAGTAAAAAAATACAGTTTGTGGATGTGGGTTCAAGAACAATCTATGATTATTTCATCAAAGCACTGCAGCGAACGTATGATTTGCAGGTAAGGGATCGGCAAAATGACTATGATTTTATAGATAAAGAATTAAAAGAAATATTTGTGAGACCAAGAATTACTATACTCATTAGAAAACAACGTGAATTTCAATTTAAATTATTGCATGGAGCCATATACACTAATGAGCATCTTCATAGATTTGGTTTTGTTGGTGATAATTTATGTTCGTTTTGTAAGCAGGAAATAGAAACATACAAACATTTATTTTTATCTTGTGGGAGCGTTCAAAGGTTATGGCAGGCTTTAATACAACTTTTTGAGTAAGATGAAATTAAAGATTTAGAATGGCGAGATATATTTGTTGGGTTGGTAGGTAGTTCATATAGAATAAAAATGTGTAATACTATCATTTTCATGGTGAAGTATGTTACATTTATGTCAAGATCGGGGGGGCGAGTACTAACTTTAGAAAAGATGAAAAAAAGCATTTTTAAGTATAGGGATGAGGAAAAGAAAATAGCAATTAAAATGGGAAAGCTAGGATCACATTTTTTAAAGTGGGAGCAGCTTAAGATTAATTAAGATTTGCTTTCTTCTCCACCGTGAGCTTGTTAAAAGCGTAACTCGATTTTGCGGCCTGGATAACTTATTTAGTATATTTTTCTTAAGTTGAGAATGTTGGCAGACATCCACTGAGTGAGTACTGTGTGTGTGTGTGTGTGGGGGGGGGTGGGTGGGTGGGTGGGTGAGTATGTGTGTGAGTGGGTGAGTATGTTTGTGTGATAGAGGGTGAGTATGTCTGTGTGATGTAGGGGGCAGGGAGGGGGCAGGATTGTTTCAGTAAAATTATCTCCAGATTTGTTTTTTTTTGTAATATATAAGTAAATAACATTTACAATTGACATATTATGTTTAGGTACTTATACGTTTACTTTGTTGTTAAGTTATATTATACTGCAAATAAGTTTGTGTTTAATTATGTTTATGTAAAAGCATCAATATTGAACACGTTTATTTTATTCAATTGTATGTCATGGTTTGTGTTACACATCTGGAGAAATAAAACAAAATTGTTAAAAAAAAAAAAAAAAATACCACGAGTGAGGTTGACCTCTGTGCAGAGTGACCCAAGAGAGATAAGGGAGAGATGGAAGAGGGGGAGAGATATACTCTGTTGTTCCAACACTATTTATCACACTGGCTCATACACATTATCACAATGGCACTGTTGCATAGTATATCACCTAATTTGCAATTAGAGTAGGTTCTGAATGATAGATTGTAAATCTGGAAACTACCATTCATGATATTAGACTAACCTTTTTCTTTATCAACCCTAGACTATAGCTTTATAGTATTTACAAACTCCAATACTAGGTGGAGGATAAACGTTCATATAGCAGTTCGGTACCTCGTTTATAATTTGGCATAATATTCTTTGCATCAGAAAGTTCCAACCTCAATGGAAGTACAATGTATACTTCTTTTCTGACATAGAAATCAAAGTCAATACTTTTAAGAACGGTAAGAGTACCACGTGCGTCGATCACCATGTGCCCGGCACATTTTTGTTTGTCTGCGCTGCATGCACTCACCGTACACACACATTAAACTCCATATTAAACAAGGTATCTGATTGGTAGATCAATTCCAGACGCATGTGCAGTAAACAGCATCCGTCTGGAAAAAGGCACACGTGTGCTAATAAAGTAACAGGCGTGTGCTATCGCACCTTGCATGCGCCTGCTAAATAACAGGCGGTGATTGGTCAATTTAGCAGACGTGTGCCGCGTTCCATACGTCTGGGGCACGTGAATAAAGTCACCAACGGCTTTCCATATAATACCGTGTCATACCGTGTAACTTTTCTGTGGAAACACAGGCGTGTCGAATCGTGTCGACTGAGATACGGATTATCATAACCACAAACCGTGTCTGGCGGATCAACAGAGCATGCGAAGCCCCAATCACCACTGCAGCGTGATTGGTTGAAAAATACTTTGAAATATGCGTACACAATAATATGTTTATATATGCGCTGTACGTAACAATGAAAAATTCACGTCACAATAGAATAGCGTGGATCCTGTGTAGATCTGGATCCATGATCGAGGTCAAAGGTTGAATCTTGACTTCCGATTGACACAGTATTTGCCTGACTTGGAACACGGAATCGGGGCTAATCGGAATGCTGCGCTCTGCGGAAACAGATTGGTAATTAAATACCGTGTCGTCACGACACAGTATTTCAATTCCGGAAGAGATAATCCGTGTTCCACTTTTTTTCTGTGGAAACATGCTGAGTGACTTAGCTCTAGATAATTCACAACAAGCTTTGGTTGAAAAGGGAGAAAAGAATTACTCCAATAGGAATCTCACAATAGGCCATTTTCGTAATGTAATCAGATTTAATGCACAAATCTTTATTAAGTGCCTCGTTACAACTCATTTCATTCACCTGTTATGAATAATTGTACTTCAGTAGTCATGATGCGAGTTGCATACATTACGTCTTGTGAGGTAGGACAAGCCATAATGGCCATGTTCACACGATGGCAATTTAATTGGTCGGAGTAAAAGTCGTGTTTAGAGCTAGTTGGCGTAAATATGGTAAGGTCGGCGTAGTGACCGTCTGAACAATAGTCGTGTTAGCTAAGCCGACCTTTACGCCGACTGATACTCCTGGATTTTTCCAGGAATGCGTTGGTTCGAACCCCGGCCGCGTAATACCAAAAGACGGGAGTTGCTGCTACCTTGTTTGGCGTTCAACAATAAGGGATAGAGCAACGTCGATCTGGCGCGGCTCAGTGGCTGCCGGGTCTCACGATCAATTGGGCAAAAAGAATTTCCATTTTTGGTTTAATAAAATTTGGAGTGAACTTTAAAAGATTATTATTATTATTATCATTATTAACACGACTAGAGGATAGTCTTAGTTGACTGTGTGGATGCTCGAGTATCTGTGACCTTTCACAAGGGTTGTTTGTTTACGATTGAAAATGAAGATTAGATTTTGCGTGGTTTAGATGCGAAAGCTGGGTTGAGGTCGACTAGGGCGGGCACAACCACTTCCAGAAGTTATGCTGAGTAAGACTGGGTCGGTGGAAGGAATAGCGTAAAGCGTATGGATAACTAATGGTGTATGGAATATTTAATGCTGCAGGGAAAACTTACGCCGACTAGGAAGCCCGTCTGAACATGGCCAATGTTTGTCCTACCTATCGACAATTAATGTATGCAGTTTGCATTCTGACTTTTGAAATACAATTATTTGTAACAGGAAAATTAAATAATTTGTAACATGGCACTTAACAAAGATTTATGAATTAAATTCAAATACATTACTAAAAAGGTCATTTGCTATGAAAAACTCATCAAAGTGCTCTTGTCAATATTTTACAGAGATAGGATACAGAGCAATGTTTGAAACAATTATTTGCCAACTTTGTTTCTCCAGCATATAAAGCATGTTTACCGTTGATAAGGCATTCCAGAGGTCAGATGTCACAGCATTTTTGAATTTATACTGCTTGAGATAACGTTGGATTCCCAGCATCATGATATCCTGGTCACCGGTCATCAAAAAGCTTTGTAACATCTTCAAGATTGTTGCACCCTGGATAAAAAGAGATATTGAAGAGAGAAGAGAAAGGAAAAGAAGAGAAAGGAAAAGAAGAGAAAGGAAAAGAAGAGAAAGGAAAAGAAGAGAAAGGAAAAGAAGAGAAAGGAAAAGAAGTGAATAATAACACAAATTGTTAATAATCATATAATATTGGTTGGCTTTGGGAGGGATATTAGAATGTATTGCCTGCAACCCAAACACATTGCCACTTGTCAAAGATTGGGGCGATGTTTGCGATATTCCCTGAATGTGAAGCCAGCGAATACAATCATCATTAGTTATATCAGATATCTGTCTATTTTGTGGCCATCATGAACAGGTTTGTTTGCTTGTGGGTTCCTCTGGTTTTATGTTCTTCATACCACGCATCTTATCTGAGCTGAAAAATCATGTCATGCTTTGTTACGCATGTAGACTAGAACAAATTTGGTAAATATTTGAGGTTATTGTACATAATTATTGTCAATGGGAAATTTGGGGGATTTCCCCAAAGATATTGTACATCGGGGAAAGATTGCCTATTGTAATAGTTGTCATGGAGATGAGGCAAAAAAACACCTGTTGAATTGCCTAGCTCAGAGGCCTGGTGTCATGCAACCTCTTGTGAGATAGGGAAATGTAATGAATGAGAAAGAGAAAGAGAGAGAGAGAGAGAGAGAGGAGCAGAAGGTTGATGAAAATAAGATAAAAAAAGGAAATAGCACAGAAGACATCAAACCAAATTTAGACGGATGTGATAAGACTTCAATTTAGTGACACATATATGCCATTCATGTCATTCTCTTTATCAGATATTGAACTGAGGTAATGAGGTACTGGCATTTTATAAGAGATTTTTTTTTAAATGACTAATTTTTGTATCTTTCTTTGTTTATTGCATTTTGTAACAGACTTCCTACAGCTGAACATGTTAGGATGATAGATTTAACTAAGAAAGCAACTTACTTTACTGTATGAGATGTCATCAAATATTTCCTGGATTTGACTAGGATTATTGACTGTCACTGAGATAGGATGTGAATTAGCCTCCTGGTCTTTGCTCATTGCTCTACGGGTAGTTAGTATGATGAACTTATCCATCTGATCATGGAATGAAAACATTGAAACACAGACTTACAATCAATCAATATATCAGGTGTGGTGCCACTACTTTAGTCTCTAAATAAACTTTCAGAGGTCGTGATCAGTAATTCTATGATAAATGATTGATCATTTATAGTGCGCTTCTTTCTAGTAAACGATTTTGAGGCAAAATGAACACTGAAGTAAACGGTGACAGTAATTGTCACAATGTGATTTTGTTCTCTTTGTGGCATTTAAACAAATCCATGACCCCACTTGTTGGAGTTTTCCTTAACTAACATCATAGAAATATGACAACGATAGATTGAGAGCAAACAATGCGAATGTTTATGTATAACAAACATTTTAAACGTGACAGAATTCCTGCAATTGAGCCACATCCTGTTAAAATACTGAAGAAACAATGAAATGAAACATAACATTTAAAGGCATCGTTTAACAATGTTAGATCTGAGATGCATAGCTCTACATGTTATCAGTGTATGTGATGTGGTGTAATAATGAAGCCCTGAACAAATTGCGCTTCATAATGATCATGAAGTGCTTCAAGAGGGAATTAAATCTTTGAGTGACCGGTTTTACCATACTCATTTTTTCCCAATAGACTGTAGTGTTATGAAAAACATTAGGAAAACACAAAATTTGATTTGGACTTCCAATCATATCTCAATAATCAGACAGGCGATCGGCTTGTAAAAGTCATGGGGTTCCTTACTGACCTTAAGGTTCATAATTATCATTGCAGCATGAGCTAAATCCAGTATTTTGTTTCAGAATCTGAGACAAAGTTACCCGATCCCTTTAAGTGAATTGTTGCTCTTACCATGTGCCATTCAGGTCTGAAATGATCAGCTCCGATGTATTCCACAAACGATGCAAATCCTTCATTGAGCCACAGGTCACTCCACCATTGCATAGTTACCAAATTACCAAACCACTGCGGTGCAAGATAACCACATCAAACAGTCAATTGACATTCATCATGGTATATTAAAACTCATACAGAAATTAGAATGAAGCATGCAACACTCTTTTGTATTCAATTCACATTTTTGTTTTGTTTAGAAATAAAAATGGTCTTTCACTGAGCTCTTGCAGCTCTTTGTATTGGGAGAAAGAGAAAAAAGTTTGTTGTTTGACAAAAACAGAAACATTAATTTCTTCAATCTGAGAATACAAAACTTTGCAGTGTAAAATGATGTATATGCCGTATGGCATACTATTCAGGAGTATCATTTAAGAATCACATCCATTTTCAAAAATGATATCAATAACATGAAGCACAATCCTATCAAAGCCATTTCGTTTTCTGATTGTTCAAATACCTGGTGGCTATAATGGAATATACTGTAAGACCAGGGGGGTGTTTCCCAAAGATTTTAAGTCGAACTTAACTCTAATTTGGACTTAAAAGTTATGGAGAGCCATTTGTAGCCTTAAAATAATATATATTCAAATATAATAACTTTTATAAAAATATTTTCATAGTTTTTCAGTCCAACTTAGAGATAAGTTCAACTTAGGATCTTTGTGAAACACCCCCAAGAACCTTTTGCGACATGAACCTTTCAAAAATTATTAAGGACGACAAATTTTACACCAAGAAACTTGAGCAAAGTGAAGGATGTCAACTGGGATACAATTATTTAGTAGTGGCCTGATACTTCTGTAAATTTGAAACACTTGTGATATTTGAGAACATTTGATGAACGTACGAGAGAGTTTCTGGTTTTAACAATTATCCATTACCTGATGTGCCAATTCATGTGTAATAGTAATAACTATCAATGCTTCTTGCGGAGTTGATGTGACATTAGGTTTGTAGAGGACTGATGCCCCTCGGTAGGTGATAAGACCCCAGTTCTCCTGTGCTCCTGAATCAAAGTCTGGAATCGCTATCATATCTATAAATATTTATTTTAAAAAAACAAAAAAACACTGAATTAATACATGCATGAAGATTTCTTCAAAACAGAAAGAAAAAATTATTTAAGACAGGTAAGAAAAAGATGTACATAGAAACCGTCTAGAAAAAAAAAGGATAAACTTGACTTTGCATTTTACGTTGCATATTAACAATAATAATAGTTTGTTTTTTTATAGCGCATCTCAGGACCGAAATTATTATTATTTCTCATTGATTAATTACCATCATTGTCATCATAATAAATGTACATATTTAGTCATCAATAGCTTAATTGGAATTGCATTTTATCAAAATCTGCAACATAAAAAAAGAGGTCAACTGTATATCTGCTGTTCATGCATTTCCAACAATTTTAGAAATAGTAATTCTCATAGTGATTAAGCATATAAATTTTAATATTTACAAGTACATGTACATCCAAATTTTCAATAAAATTTCACTGTATCAGCAGTATCTTTTCCATCTAAAATCAATTCTAATTGACATAATAGCAAATAATCCATAACATAGGTAACTATTGCTTTCATGTAGCCAATTAACATTCATTTAAGGCATGAGATTGGATAAATTAGAGCCACATCTGTATTCATCTTAACTGTTTCTTATTCGCTCAGTGTACATGCACTGTCAATACATTTTGTTCCTCCTTCAGACAGTCAAAGCAATCAAGCATCAAGGGTAATGCATTTCTGAAGGATAAAGCGTCTCGATCTCTCTCTCGAGTGCGAGTGTGATAAACATGTTTTTCTTGACTGTCACTGCATAATCTCTCCACCCCCTCTTGCTTATGTGCTTCTTCCCCCACTGTCTACTGTCGACATCTGTCTTTTTTCACTCTCTTTCACTCTCGCTCTCTCTCTGTCTGTCTGTCTCTCTCTCTCTCTCTCTGGGCCTGTTTGTCCTTGGTCTATTATTGCCTGAAGTGTAATATGACTTGGGGATGAGGAGAGAGGAGATACTGAGGAATAATTATGAAATTATGAATGTAAATGTATAGGCCCATTTACACAGCCCCGCAACCATTCCTGAAAATGTGTACTGTTATTTTACACTAATGGAGAAAAAAACCCATAAGAACATACATGTACGCAACCTGGCTAGTGGCTACATGACCAATAATGGGCATTTTCATGTTGCATATTAAAGAAGGATATATCTACAACACGACATGCCCAACATGTTCAAAATCAATACCAACAACACTACAATAAAATATGGTAAAAATGAAGTGTAGAAATGTACATTGTTGATTTCATAATTTAACATCTGACACCCTTGTCACTTGTTAATGAATGGTTCTAAGTTTATTTAATGTTATATTGCTGAACACAGCACAAAAAATAAAAACAAAAGTGTTCAGAGTTATTTCCTTTCCTAAATATGAGTGTAAAGATCAAAACAAGGGTCCATTCTCATTTGATGACGAGTGTTTAAAGTACATTAAAAAAAAAAGTTTGAATAACAGGACAACATTTACTTCATTTGTGGTATTTAAAGTAACTGGATTTGAGGTACCTTTACATTATTACAAAGCTCTATACTAACTAAAGTATGCATAGGAAAAATTGATCATTCTCACAAACCTTTGAAGAACAATTTGGTATTATGTCGTTTTTTTTCAAAAGCTTTCACACAGTATCTATCATGCTCTTTAAATACAAGAGATGCATTGATAAAGAAGCACTGAGAAGCAGTGCTAAGTTAAGTTTATATCTCTATGGATAACCATCTTGAGGATATCCTATAATCGCTTAATTTCTTTCTTATCATTTTTGTTTCAGTTTAAACTGAAATACCTAGAAGCAAAGAGAGTGAAAGACAACATGTTAGAAAGGAAATTCATGGTTTTAACAAAACATACAAAAAATTAAAACTTGTTCAATATCACTTTCATTTCATATTATTCAGCTCCTTCACTCATCTTGATCTCATCAAAATCTTCAATACTTCACAATGACTTCTGGTACATCCACACTCACAATTGAACAGACTCCATCCATGCATTGTGATTACCAGGCATCCAAGTTACTGCTTAACGGGTAAATATGTAAATCTTGTGCCTCCGTGATGCCATTTCTTAGGCTTAATGGAGCAATAATCCAGCCTCAGAACTGTAATTGTTTTTCACACTTATCTAGGAGCGTTCATCTTTATGTATCGGTAGTCTCTAAATCAAGACAATATTATCTAGTTTGCTTGTACTTTTTAAAAATTATTCTCCTGCTACTTACATTACAGGACAAAATCATCCTCTTTTATTTATAATAATAATAATAAAAATATTTTATTTTTATATAGCGCTTAATACAAATGTCTCTAAGCGCTTTGCAAATATACTATTACCCCGGTCATTGGATTCATTTTATCTTATTTTGTCCTTTCTAGCAGATGGCAATGCTGTTTATTTTAACTTTATACACATTTCTCTGAAGATTGCCTCTGTAATGCTATTATCTGTTAATGAAATACAATGTCTGGTAAGGCTAGACTACATTCCATTACGATCACCATCGATGGTGCATTAGGAAAGCACATGTACTGACTGAACAAAGAAGATAAACATTGTATTGATAATGCCTTTGAAAATGAGTTGACTGAGTCACTGTTTTCAAAGTAATATTAATATAAAAATTGCTTTTCACGACCGAGTATTATATAAATGGCAAATCATCTTTCCCTTTAAGTTTAAGTCTAAATTGTACTAACAGCCCCAATTCAGTTTCTTCTATATATACATGTAGATCATGTGTGACTTGCATACACACATGTAATCTTTATTCAATTGCGGTTTTGATTAATATATTGATATTACTCTGTTGTGTATATATGTTATGCATCTTGTTTTCATTGAGAGTAAATAAAGATCGAACAAGAAAACCCCCTAGAGTCAACAAACTAAACAAAGAATATATTTGTATTATGATTATAAATGCCACAGCTCTCTAGCAACGATAAATAAATATTGTAAATTATTCAGTAGATTTTATTAAAATTCACTGACAAAACTTCATTAATACCATTTTTACTATTCTTTTGATAAATAGGAATTAAGCATGGAGATGAAATTACACTGATTGAATTACATCTGTTGTGAAATGGAAGAGGAAGATCCAAAGGAGTGGAATGAGCAATTCTGTCATGCATTATTCCAAGTATTGATCAAAACCTAGTAGGGACAGGGCATGTACTTAAAGATATCCAATACTACCACTTCTATCTAGATAATGGGTCACGATGCAAGACGTCCAAGTATTGATCAAAACCTAGTAGGGACAGGGCATGTACTTAAAGACATCCAATACTACCACTTCTATCTAGATAATGGGTCACGATGCAAGACGTTCAACTGCAGGATCTATTAAAGATAGCTGCTGATAGCATGAGCCTTCTTACATCTGATCAACAGAGAGCATAATAGATTGGAGTACTAAAATAAAAGTAGAATGTTACTTCCTACGCAGAATGCAACACTATTCATCTTAACATCCGCTTTTCCTCTCCATCTAATGCATATAATAATAATAAATAAATTCCACAAAATAAAACACCTTTTGACATTTTATGATTTCATGAGAATGACAAATACCTTGCTTGGGTAGAGGGTATGAGATGTCAAATAACGTCTCATAGAATGGAATAGTTTTGTTGACGACTTCTAAGGCTAATTGTGCTTGGTTGATCTGATCCACAGGAGCATACATGGCAACCTTGAAAAACAACAACAAAAACACAATAGTAAGTGTACAACATATATATTATCACTTAAGGGGAGGGTTTCACAAAGACTAAGATCGACTTTAAGTTGGAATTAACTATGGCAGGCCATTCGTGCCACTGTTTGCTCTCACCAAAATGATCTTTAGATAATATTTTTTCCTTCAAAAATGAATTATCAAAAAATGTAAATCCTGTGTAGATTTGTGAGAGACCAATGCCAGTAAATGGTGAGAGGAAACAGTGGCATGAACGGCCTGCCATATTTAAGTTCGATCTTAGTCTTTGTGAAACACCCCCCTGGTCTATACAGCATTCTGACATTTAACAAGTAAATGAAACTGTCAAAGTGAAATTGCCCTTTTGTAAGGCATTAATCCTCACTACCAGGTCCCTAGGAGAGGACCTAAAGCCGTTGATCTTATAGTTGCGTTAATACTTACAAGCATTTGTTGCTTTCTTAGCTGTCAGGTAAAATAACTACCATTATATACCTCACTCAAGAAATCCAGCCATCTGATTGGTCGAAATTGCATTCATAAACTTTAAATATTCCTTTAAAATTCATAAAAATAGTTCTAAAATCCCAGTTACCATGGTTACCGGGAAAATAGTTCTAAAAATAGTTCTAAAATCCCAGTAACCATGGTTACCCATAGGTTTACATGTTAAAAAATGGTTTGAGCGATCGAGGATACCGTACAGTACGTGTGCGAAGAATTGGTCAGTATTTTCATACAAGACAAGACAATTCCAAACAAGACAAAAATGGCTAAAGAAACTCTCCCAAGATTTCAACTTATGAAATGCAAGACTCGCTGACAGCAACAACAACAAAAAAGGGTACGTGAAATTATCCATAAACATGTTCGTTTAGTTGCTGAAAATGGAGTACCAGCATAGACGTAGACGAAAATAGATCTATAGTAGTCAGGGTGTCTGATCGCGCACCCGATGCTGTGTGCTAAGTTCTTCCCATAGAGTTTGCACGCAATGCAGTCTCTATGCAGTCTACGTGCATTGCGCGACCATGCCAAAAAAGTCTTCTTTTTTTTTTAATTCGAGATTCAAACCTTTATCTGTTGTGATCCTGAAGGTGATACTCAATAAGTGAGGTGTCATATGAAAGCGCAGGTTCTTCTCCATATTACCCACAGGGCCGGCCCACCCCAAAATTGTAAAAATATCTTGCTTAGACTAGAATCTAGATCTAGTCTACTCTCAAAGATACACTCGTAAAAAACAACCGTGCAGATAAACTAGAGAAAGGCCAAGGTGGTGTCATTAGTTGACTCTTGTTTTCGGCATATAAAAGTATTAATGACGGCTTTAATATTCGAGAAATAGTTGTTTTTATACGCTCTCGGGAAGGTTACAATTGGGCTATTGCCCTCGGCACGCCTCGGGCAATAGCACAATTCTAACCTTCCCTTGAGCGTTATAAAAACAACTATTTCTCTCAAAGCAGTCATTATACCATTAGATGTATGAGTACCTCAGGCATTATGAGATTACAGGCACCATGCTACTAAATGATGTGACCTGATATGGGTTTAGTCATGAGAATCATGCCCGGGTTTCACTTAAAGCAAAACTCTGAGCCTACCAGGATGCATGGTACTTGTTCTCACTTAAAGGTACTATGTCCCATTTGCAGGTCAACAAAAATGAAATGTTTAAATTCAAACGGCATATGAAAGATAATACTAATTTAGAACTTCCCTCAAAACGAAAGGGCTTGAAAATGTCTTTTAGTGGGAAAAATAATGACCATTAGTTGTTGAATCGACTGAAGTGATTACAATCACCTATTCACCTAAGTAATAGTCTGATTTTCAGCCCCTTATACTGAATGGTCGTACATTTTGTGCTGCACAAAGAGTCAATCAATTTAATTTTGGCCATTATAAGAAGTGGGTTATTGATCACCGGTAGACAAATGTTCATGTACCTTTACAGCTCATGTTATGTATGTTAATACCAAAGAAAAAAAAAAGAGTCTGTCAGTCACTCAATAGTGTCTGACAGTGAAGTCTAGAAAGTAACAGGTTTCCTTGCATAATTTGACTAATAAGGCACTGCTAACGTTTAAATTCCACAGATTGGCCATACGTGACATATTCATAATTCCTGCAAAGTTCTACAGAATTTGATGTTGGCTGCAAATGGGACATGGTACCTTTAAAGCAAAGCTCTGACCAACCAGGATGCATCGTTCTTGTTCTCACCATTTTTTTCTCACTCCTGTCTCTTCTCACTTACTTAAAAAAAAAAAAAAATGTTGTAGACATTCATCATAAAACGAGTAGAATCAATACAGAACAGAACTGATTGGAAAACAATGATTAAGCAAGATGAAGAAGATTCACTTAGTAGAAAAGACAAAGAAATCATGGTGTAAGAAGAATCTTTTGTCTTGCCCTATTTATTATTCCACAAACTTGTTCTCATACAGATCATATCCCCTCTTTCATTTGGCATACTATACTCACCTTGGTGCCGGTGCTTGTGACGTCATCAATACTGATGAAATCACACACAACAAATGCTACCAGGTAAGTGCTCATAGGAACGGTGGTCTGGTAGGTATCCAAGAGGAGCGCTGTCTCCTTATAGGGTCCATCCTTGGTTTGTGCTGGCATGTTGAAGAGTGTGATATGATCCTTATCATGGACTATCTTCAGTGAGAACTTGGCTTTCATGGCTGGCTCATCAAAGCATGGGAAAGCCTGTCGAGCCGAGGTCGACTCAAATTGTGTGGAAGCCATCGTTCTGAAATGATATCAACATCGCACTTTACTTAATATGATTATTCAAAATACTGTTACTACTAGTATATTTTTTTAATAAAGTATTTACAATTCAGAAATAACAAAGATTAGATTTATTAAGCACCCTGTTCATTCATACATTTGACTTTTAACAGTGGTGGTGGTTATTTTACCCGACAGCAAAGAAAGCAATAAAACATTGTTAGTAAGCAACCAGAAGACTGACAGCTTTAGGTCCTCTCTGAGGGATCTGGTAACGAGGATTAATGCCTTACCAAAGGGCACTATAGCACATGAAGTAAAAATTGTCAACCACAAAGTACATTCATCTGATAATAGCCTACTGTGCACTTTACTTTGACATTTATTAGAGAGCAACAGGGAAATCAGTATCCCATGAAATTGTGAAGATCTATTCAAATACTCAATACTGTACATTTATATCTGCACAACCTCAAAGTACAAAGATACACCAACAGCATGGTGGCCTGTACTTCAACAGAAGAAGAAGAAGAAGAAATGCCTGCATCAAATACATACATATACATGTACAGTACATTAATACCTAACATACTGTACGTGGCATCCATCTCCATCCGTGTGGTTGACATGATCATCATCATGATTTTTTTCATTCCACTGATTTCATTCTACTTTTACTTTAAGGTTTGAAAAAATAAATTTAAATTTATTTTACATTGTATTTACTACAATGTTTTTCTGAATGGTATCAGAGTGAAATAGAAAGGTTTATCTCATTTTGTCCCCTTTTTTTGCTACAAATAGATATCTATGTTTACAAAGTCATCTTATGTGTAGCTTTCGATTAAATAACAGTTCACTTTTGACTCTTTCAAAAGACAACAATATTCAACATTCCACTTAAACTTAAAGGGTGGTCAAATGAGCTTTTCTTTATAATGTATATGTACACTTAACTAAATTATTCATACCACGTTTTGTAATTTTTCAAGTACTTGTATGTGAAAAATGTATTTGTGTTGATTTATGATTCTTGTGAATGTGGCATAAAACATGTACATCTATCTAATGTATTCAACAAAGGCCCTAATTGAACCAGTCCACATTTTATTCTTAGGGTTATGAAAAACACACATCGATTTTTTTTTTTTACAAGAGGGATTAACTAGTTGTTAACTGTATATTATTATACATGTACATTAAGTAGGTTAAAAAATAAAGCCAATGTTTTCTTTGAAGTGACCACTTTGTCACTTGTTCACAGACCCCACGCCCCAGCTATTTGTTAGGTGCAGGTGCTTCTATTGTGATTGATGGATTCTATTCAACAAAATGGTGACCTGACATCTCACATACAATTTATGTTTATTTGTTTGCACAGGAAATCACCAACGTCATTCCAGCGTCTACTCGTATTGATTGACTGTCATGTCGTCTCTAGACCTGATTTGGTAAATGCCACAACTACAATATCATCCCACGCCCACTGCCACATCGAAAAAACGAATCTTTTTCCAGAATTTTGTCCACCTACATGTAAGGTAGCTTTAATCATTTATTTCTATTTATCATTACTTCTTTTAATTTTTGTATTTCTTTATTTATCATTACTTCTTTTAATTTATGTATTTTTTTATTTATCATTACTTCTTTTAATTAATGCATTTGTTTACAATATTTGTTTGTTTATGTGTATTCTATTTTTTTGGCCTATAGAAATAATATGGTTAAAGTCTGATCGAAATTATAGACAAATTTATGGCTAAGTTCTATATACAAGGACCAAATACCGGTAGTGATTTAAGGCAAGCTAAGAATTATCTATCAACAATCAAGGCAAATTCAAAGACTCTTGTTAAAAAGTACGACAATAATTTTTTTTTTTAAATATTAAAAAAATAAGAAAAACAGAAAAACAATAACAGAAAAAACAACTTAAAATTAACCATACCATAACTAACATCAAGGAAAGAAAATAAGTAATGTGGAGGGTCAAAAATTATTGGATAACAAAAGTACCAATCTCAATGTTTGTCGTTGATATTATTTTCATCAAATCCTTCCTTCATTGTGACCCCAATTATATCAATGTCAAATGAATGATGTACAGGTTGAGACAAACACCAGTAGAGCAATGTGTATTATGTAAGAGAACTTTAGAGAAGGGAAAATCAATTTTCATTGATGGGGAATGTCAAATGACTAAAAAATCATGAAAGGGAAGCTACATACTTTATGTTTAAGTAATCATACCCTAAAATATTAGTTTACGGCATTCAACGATTCATCTGAGAGATCTAACACCAAACTAACAATGGACCGAGCAAGTATACAAACTAAAGTGCTTTATAAAACAACTTTCACTTTCAGTCAGACAACCTATTTGATATCAGGAATATATTGTCTATTAGGAGCCAGACGGGCATTAACTTATAAACTTCAATACAGAGTCAATGCCCTGCTCAGCTCTACAATCATTAATACTTGACACTCGAAATACAGGAAACAAGGGAACGCTCTCGGCGGTCTCGCCTGCATAACGCAATTCAATATGATAAACCAGAACTTCAATGACGTAGCGCTCAGCATCTCGCACAACAAATATCATAAATTTTATGTGGTACACTTTTGAACTGGTCAAAAAATTAAAATTTGATGCCCTGGAAGGGACATAATTTCATTTCATTTGCATAAAGTACCATAAATAATCAATGGAGCAAAATTTCAAAATTCTGTGTAGAAGTTTAGTGTACCAAAGTTAGCTCTACGATATAAAGCAAACCAAATCAAAATCGGTCGAAATATGAAGGAGAAGAAGCATTTTTTGTGATTTTTAAATTATTTTTGGAATAAATTTGCATAAATTACCATAATTAATCAATGGAGCAAAATCTCACAATTCTGTGTAGAAGTTTAGTGTTCCAAATTTAGCTCTACCAGATAAGGCAAACCAAATCAAAATCGGTCAAGAAATGAGGGAAAAGAAGCAATTTTTGTTATTTTTGGAATAAATTTGCATAAATTACCATAATTAATTAATGGAGAACAATTTCAAAATTAGGTGTAGCAGTTTAGTGTACCAAAGTTAGCTCTACCAGATAAAGCAAACCAAATCAAAATCGGTTGAGAAATGAAGGAGAAGCATTTTTTGTGATTTCGAATAAATTTGCATAAATGAATTTCACAATTCTGTGTAGAAGTTTTAAATCCCCCTCCTAGCTAGCCCTATCATATGAAACAATCAGAATCAAAATCGGTTGAAAAATAACGAAGAAGAAGCACTTTGAAAATCTTGATGTTGATGACACAACAAAGTCTAAGTTTGTTGACCTTAAATGACCTTTGACCTTAACTTAGTGACCTGAAATTCTACTCACATGATTGGGGAGACTTGATAACCCTATAGTCCAAGTTTCATTGACTAAGAACTTATACTTTCAAAATTATATCAAAAATTCAAAAACTTAACCTTAGGTTAAGTTTTCGATGATGATGCTACAACATAGTCCAAGTCTGTTGACCTGAAATGACCTTTGACCTTGACTTTGTGATCTGAAATTCTACTCACATGATACACCAGTTTACAGTTGTGTGCGCCATTTTAATTGGCGAGTAAACAAAGCCAATGACCTAGAGGTCATGTATTTATGCGTAAATTAAGATTGCGCCCATGCAAATTATGATGATATCACTGCCTGCGCGCTACGTTGTGCGCGCATATCATCATTTGCATGGGCGCAATCTTAATTTACGCTTAGCCTAAATACCACTGACGTGACCTCGGTTCATTGGCCCTGAATTCAGGGCCAATGACCCGAGGTCAACTGTCTGCGCATGGGCACTGATACAACTGTAAACTGATGTATTGGGGATACTTGATTACCCTTTAGTCAAAGTTTCATTGACTAAAAACCTATACTTTAAAAATTATATTAAAAATTCAAATACTTAACCTTAGGTTAAGTTTTTGATGTTGACGCCGCCGTCGCCGTCACCGGAAAAGCGGCGCCTATGTCTCGCTTTTTGCTACGCAGGCGAGACAAAAATTGTTTGCTATAATGTATTTGCATTTTTATTCTCGATTATTAAAACCTTTAAAAACCTAAATATTTATACCTGTAATTAAAAATTTGACACATAAGCAAGTGCACATGTATAATTCAGAATTCAGGGGCCCGTTCCTAGAAACCGTCATAAGTCTAACTTCTTGACTAAATCAGCGTTAGTGAGCAACTTTTCCGCTACGTGTTTCACCAAGCCCTCTTTGCCAAGATCAACGACAACATCCTGACTAAGGAGTTATGACACCTCTGACACCGTCGTATCTCTATCATAACTATTTAGTCGAAGGGCAGCGCCGTCACATGTCATTTATTGACAAAAGGACAATAAATCCTCCAACTATGATTTTTCTACACATTCACTTAAACAGTGGGTTATCGTTTTTTGTATTTGATAATCTTATGAAAATATGCCATGTTTGTATTTAAGGATTTTCCCACTTAAATAAACTGATTATACGCCTTTATTTCCACATTGTAAACTCGTCGAAGGGATATGTATTTTGCCACGGCAGGCAAGCCATAGTTTGAAGTGTATTCTTCAATTTTCAGACACATATTGCTTTCGAGATAAATTCTATCTTCAAATGTGTAAAATGAATAGTTTAAAACATGTTTTGTTGACGTTTGGAATGTTGAAGTTTTGTCATTTGATTATTCAACTGACACCTAAAACATTGGACACAAACTTCATTACATCGTATTTTTCTAAGAATAATATATTGGTGTATTTTTTATAAACTATCAAACGAAAATATCCGGGGGGTACCCATCTCAAGAACAAAACTGATTCACCGGTCATGTAATGAAATACTCACAATTATATTTTACAAGTACTTATATTGTATAATCTACACAAATTTGGTAGTATATTGCATCTCTTATTTCTTGGTATCATTTTCAATCTTTTTTATTACTAATTCATTTAAATAATTGCATTTTCCCTAATATTAATTTTGTAATAATCCGGTGGTATTGCGACTAAGTCTAAGTCTCGGCTCCTATTCTCGCCGATAGTATCGATCTCACGAGATACTAGCTAGTAAGCTCTTCGTGAAACGGTTTAGGAAGATCAGAGACATCTCCGTAGTTGGCGGATAAAGTTATGACTGTCTTGTCGGTGGTTTCTAGGAACGAGCCCCAGGATCCCACCTTGCAGTGTTTTCTTGACACTGACTTAACCTGGAAATGTAATACACAATATTTTTTTCCTTTTTTCCTCCATTCTATTCTTTTTCTTGATACTTGATTTATCCTGGGACAAATTTTTTCCTTCCAAACTCCAGTTTTTTCTTCCATAATGGGGACCTTACCAAAAATCATAATCCCAGTTCTTACACATACTGGGGATACAAACAAATTTAACTTTTGCTTCATCACAAGATAATGAGAATAAACCATTATCTATTGCAACCCAACTCGTAATCGATATAAAACTATCACGCACTGGATTTCATACTTACACTGGATTTCCGTTCTTTTTATAGGAGCTCCTGTAGAATCCATCCAAACCCTCTGCTAACGTGTAGTTGAACTCCAATGTCAGGATACAGTGCACATCGTTGCTGATAGGTTTCTCAAAATGAACAGATATCTGATCGTTTTTCTTGAAGAAGAGGAGCTTCTCAACAGCAACACTTGCCTCTGGTTGATCAACTAACTCTATTGATTCTGGCTTGAGGATGGATATGTCCTTGGCATGAAATATGAGGAAGGATATCTCCTCTGTCGTGTTAAAGTGAATGACAACATTGCCCCGTACTTCAAAAGTTGAGAGGTTAGGATGTAAGAAGATTTCGTACACAAAGGGATTGGCAGACGATGGGAGCCGAATTTCATTCCATGGAAACAGTTCGCCATTTGTTGCAGTTGCTTGTGTGGGAGCCACTGCAGTTGGTGGTGCTACTTTAGTCGTTGTAGCTGCTGATACCGTGGCACTGGCAGGTGGCTCTTTTGATGGACTAGTCGTTGCTTTGATTTCCTGTGCATTGTTATGGCACTGAACGCCATGTTTGTCCAGTTCATAGATTGTAACGGATGCTACAAGAAACATTACCAGGAGCATGATGACTAGAACAGCGATCACCTTGTTCTTTGTACAGTTTGTGTTTGGGAGTCGCACCCGTGATTTGGTTCTGGTTCTGATGGGCTCGATCTGTACCTTCACCTCTTCCCGTGGTTTGAAAGCATCTGGCTGGGAATCCAGATCAAACTGATCACTGACATCATCGCTCTGCAGTCGGTACGACGTCATTGTGAATGCTTGCCCTGCTCCAGTTTGTTGCTTGAATGATTCTGTGGTGAACCTGATGAGCAGGCACTATTGTTTAGAACCAGTAACCTGTAGATCCACCAAAATGTATGCATACTTCTTGAACAAAAGTTGCCATTGAAAGTTTTTCTTTTCTTTTCAAAAGGCCAATTTACAACTGCTTTAAAATTGTACAGATTATCCATGAACAAAAGTCGCTCTTAAAGACCCTAAAGTTTGCCACATACTTGCCTGACAGAATTACAATGTAAATTTAAGGGGAATTCAACTGATGTATACACAATTCTATCATCATACATAATAGGTCAAGGAAATAGTTTGCCACTAAGAGTTCTGGAAAGAAACATCCATAAATTTGATTGGTAAATAGGTTAAATAACAGACCTTGTACGCTACATTATAACACTTACAGGGTGTATACATACTGTATGTTGTATGTTAACAATGTCAAGAATGTCTTCTTATTTTTTCAAAAAGTCTGACTGTTATTGTTTGTTCTTGGTTTGGATGCTTTTAATGGTCAGAAAATGGTACACCTGTTCTTGTTGTTGTAATACTATTTCATATTTCATGTATACACAAAAAAGGGGCGTTAAGCATAAGCTTGAAGTGACGTCCTACAGTATCTAGAATAAAAATAAAAATACATACATTTACAACATGAAGCGATGCATGCAAATTAGGTTTATAGGAAGGAAGAAGGAAGGAAGAAAGATGGAAAAAGAGTGAGTAGAGAAATATTTACAGAAGGTAGCATTGACAAAATTTATTCAAATTATATTCTATACTGTAGGTAATTTTCTTGATGTAATCAAATTGAAGGCACAAAGCTTTGATAAGTGCTTCGTTACAAATTATTTCATTAACCTGTTCAATTACAAATAATTGTATTTCAATAGTCAGAATGCGAGCTGCATATATATTACATGATGTTTTAGGTAGGACAAGCCAAAATGTGTGTTCTACCTGGCAACAATTAATGTATGCAATTTGCATTCCCACTATTGAATTACAATTATTTGTAACAGGTGAATGAAATAATTTGTACCGAGGCACTTATCAAATATAAGTGCATTCAATTTAGAGGGAGTGTCGTGGTTGAGTAGTTTAAGGTGCTTGACTCGAGATGCGAAGGTCGAGGGTTCAAATCCCGAAACGGCACTAATATCCTGTGGCAAGATATTAACCTGCACTTGCTACTCTCCACCCAGGTGTTAAACGGGTACCCGCTAGGATGCGACCGTTAATGTTGGTCAAACAGTCTTTGAGCATCAAGTAATGCCTGGCTGGAATGCTCCCCAGGGAGTGGAGATTGTGCACACAGTGTGTGCAGGCAAGCACTGAATCCAATGACTGGGGTAATAGTATATTTTTAAAGCGCTTGGAGACATTGCATAAAGCGCTATATAAATGCTAAATATTATTATTATTATTAATGTATACAAATAATTTGTAATTATACAATTTATACATGCACGACTGTTAAAACTAACTATTAAAAAAAGCTAATGGACAGGTAACCTCTCACTTAATTTTGTTTAAAATGTTGGAATATTATACACATTGTACACGTAACTTAATTTCTTAACATATGAACATGCAGTTTATTTTTTTCAATTCATTCTAAGTAATTTATCAAACTGCTTTGTTTATTGGCAAGTCTCACAGGTTATCATACATATACAGTGTATATTCTTGTACAAAATGATGTTTTACTTTTACACATGTGTATACTTGTATCATTGCTGGTTACAATATTAATAATTTGTTTCAATCATGTGCTGCCACATCTGCCTATGTCGTTGAGAGCTCATATCAAGGATATCTCAACGACATAGGCAGATGTGGCAGCACATGATTGAAACAACAGACCTAAGACACAGCAGCAGGAAAGCGTGGGCCACAATACGCAGGCTCGGAATTGACAGCACCAGAGCTCAACAGCATTATAATGTTACAGCAGACGAAGTAGCAAATCAGCTGTTGAAAAATGGAAAGGCCCCCAAGACGACTAATTCACACAGGCACAAACTACCTGGAGTTGACCAGAACATGTCTCTTTTCACAAGACCTATTTCTGAAGAAGAACTACAGAAAGGTATCTCCACGCTACACGTCAACAAGGCGGCAGGCATCGATGACATCAGATCGGAGCAGATCAAACACATGGGCTCTGTAGCACATAAAATGCTGCTAGACATGTTTAACAACTGCATCGAGAACACCTGTGTCCCAAAACAGTGGCTCCGAACCAAAGTCGTCGCTATCCTCAGGCCAGAAAAGGACTCGAACGAAGCCAAGAACTTTCGACCGATCTCGCTCCTGTGCCAAACATACAAGCTGCTTGCATGCATGAACGCCTTATTCTCAACAGAAATGGGCCTCACGTCGACAGCCAACTAAACTGTGAGCAGGCAGGTTTCCGACCAGGAAAATCCACCACGGGACAACTTCTCAACCTGACCCAACACATCGAAGATGGTTTTCAGAACAACCTCATTACAGGTGCAGTATTTGTGGATTTATCTGCGGCTTATGACACTGTCAATCACCAAAGGCTTCAGACAATACTTCATGACATCACAAATGACCTCAAACTCACCAGATTCATTCAGAAGATGATGCAGAACAGACGCTTCTTTGTCGAACTTGATGGGCAGAAGAGCAGATAGCGGTAACAAAAAAACGGTCTCCCCCAGGGTGGCGTCCTGGCACCAACACTCTACAACATCTACACTGCTGACATCCCTTCAACAGAGAACACTCGAAACTTCATCTATGCAGATGACACCTGCATCACAGCCCAGCATAGTATCTTCGAAGCTGTTGAACTCCATCTCAACACAGCGCTCGCAAGCCTTTCGGAGTACTACAGAGCGAACTACCTACGGGCAAACCCATCCAAGACTCAGGTGTGTGTTTTCCACTTGAAGAACAGGGAGGCTAAGAGAGAACTGAAGCTAAAGTGGAACAGTGTGCAATTTACTTAACCACTGCGAGCATCCAGTGTATTTAGGTGTAAAACTCGATCGCACTTTATCCTTCAAGAAACATATCGAGAAGACAATAGGCAAAGTAGAATCTCGAAATGCCATCATCGGGAAGCTAGTATCTTCACACTATGGCGCTGACCCCAAAACTGTACAAAGTGCAGCTGTTGCTCTATGCATGTCATCTGCAGAATATCCTTGCCCAGTTTGGAGCAGATCAGCCCATGTGAAGAAGCTTGACACCACACTCAATGACACATATCGAAAGATAACAGGCTGTCTGAAACCAACAAAAGTTGAGGAGATATATCACCTCGCTGGCATTGGATCTCCTAACCAAAGGCGCACTTACACCTACCTAAAGGAACGGATGAAGCAGGCGACAGATGACAGACACATGCTACACGCATACTTACAACCCCACAAACGACTTATATCCCGACACAGCTTCCTCGATTCTGTCCCACCACCTGAACAGAATCCTCCACCATCAGTCAAGCCCGTACTCATCAAAGGTCTTAACCTGAAGTGGCCGGAGTGGCAATGCCTAAATTGAATGCGGACGAGAATGGGACGGTTTAAGGTCAATATGGTAAGATGGGGCTATGCCCATAAAGGAGATACTCTCTGCGACTGCGGAGAGGCTCAGACGATGGACCACCTCTTACAGTGCGGCGGAACGGGTTGCACAGATGAAGACCTGTCCCTTGTTAATGAAACGGCCATAGCAGCAATCGAGCGATGGAAGAACTTAATTTAATTTAATTTACTTCTAATTAAGGAACTTTACATAAATTACTATATTGATCTAAGGAGACACGAACGAACGGACAATATTAATACAAGTGTCTACATGTACTTCACAGGGGAATTTCACAGCTAAAATGGTACATTTAAATAAATAATTCATCATACCTTAATCCTTTAATGAACTTCATGTTGTTTAACTACAGAGTGTGTGAGCTTGATGAATATGGCATGCACCCAATTTATAAACACAATGACACAAACCTAAATAATCCAGGATGCTAGGCCATGACAAGCTTTTCTCTATCTTTATGCCTTGTACATGTACATGTATGTTAAAAGCACACTTATTGTTGGCAAACTCAAGGTATATAATAAATCACGACCATGAATCATGAGTGTTTATTTTCACTGTTACATCTGTTAGCATATTCACAGTTCAGCAGGCGCATTTATGCTAAATGTAATCTTCAGTTATTAAATCTAGCATCCAAATATATCAAAATTGTAAAGATTCACTATCCACCCAATTTTCAAAATTTCCCAAAACTTTGCATTACCTTTAAGTTTGCCTACCATAGTATAAATGAGTAGTGTGCACCTGACAGGCAGTCCCTCTCTGAGCTCCATAATTGATAAGTTGTTATTTCATACTAGTTTTTTTAATGTATAGTCAGGATCATCCTAGTTCATTTTGGGTCTGTTGGCTACACATACTTTGGAAAATCTAAACGGAACTAGTTTAGCAGCTTGTCAGATTATTGACTGAACCACCATTACATACATGTTCTCCATGTATCCTGTCTTGGGGTTTCAAGTTTGCTCATCGTGATCCTCCATTGTCTTCATGAATAGTTTGTGGGCCTTGTTTCATAAAACATGTTATTAATAACAAATGCTAAATATCTGTGACATATTTGCTCTCGGCCAACCAAATGCCACGATCTCAGTAGCTGATAACAGTTATCATAACTTGTTATTGATATCAAGTTTTATGAAACAGGGCACTGAACACAACAACAAAGTCAGTCAACCTGCTAGCCATTGTGCATAAAGTGACTACACTGGGAAGGAATATGAGCTGGAGTCCTAATGTATATATCCACCCTCAGGCGCGTACGCAGGATTTTTTCAAGGGGGGGGGGGGGGGGGGGTTTAACATTTATAAATCGGGCCGAAAATTTCGTAACGACTCAGCCCACCGCTGAATAAGCGCGGGGGGGGGGGGGGGGGGGGGGGGGGCTA